TACGTATCTACAGCAGAAGTCTCCAACCTACGGCCCTTCAAGGTTTTTGAACTGGTTAGCCAAGCAAATGAATCTTTTGAAAATTAATTTTGAAAATTATAAAATTAATTTGTTAATTTTTTTCTTTTGGTGTTATTTATAATAGTCTTAATTATGTATGTAACATTAACTAATAATAATAGAATATATACATAAGAATCTAATAATAGAAAAATCCATCGATCATACTTATCAAAATTAGAGTGTACTCGCGTTTAGTCTCGCCGTTAGATCAAAGTTAACAATCGATGCCGTAATAATAACACTATCGAACGTTTCCAAGTGTGAAAGTACAGTGTAACATTTGTAGACATAATAATGAATTGAATAAGTTTTAAAATAATTTCAGTTTTGTTTTCCATCAAATTTTGTGTTCTGTACCTATTTGGAATTTAGTATGAATTCAAGTAAAATACAGAAAGTCGATAAAGAGTGTCGTATTTTTAACGAAAAGTGAAATAATGATTATTTTTTTATCGAATTAGAATAAAGAATTGGCCGCAATCCATTCAATGCAAGATACATGTATTGGTGATAAAATTTTTCTAAGGGTAAAAGAAACTATTTTTCCTTTGGGCCTTAATTTTAAAATTTTAAAAGGCGGAACTACTGATGAAGGGTGCAACATGTCTGGAACTCATAAAGGTTTCATAGGAAATGTTTGTAAAGCTGTATTGGAAACTGGAGCAGCAAAACCAATGGCTATTCGCTGCATTATTCACCAACATTGTGTGGGAAATATGCCTCAATATCTGAAGTTATGAATGTTGTTGTGCAGAATGTAAATTATATTCGAAAAAGTGCTCTCAGTCATCGTCAATTTAAGAACTTTCTTGCTGACATTGAAAGCGAGTACTCAGATATTCCCTATTATTGTGAAATTCGTCGGCTCAGCCGAAGTATTGTCTTGAAAAGATTTCTTTGTTTATGTTCAGAAATCGACATATTTATGACGTAAAAAACCATGTTGTCACTGAGTTAGCTGATTTGTCATGGTTATGGAAACTAGCTTTTCTCGTTGATATAACTCAGTTTCTGAATGAGCTATATTTAAAACTTCAAGAAGCAAACTCATTAATTTTAGATCTATACACCAACATCAAAGCTTTTGAATTAAAATTAACTCTATTCACAAAGCAACTCAAAAAAAAAATATTTTGCCCATTTTCCAACTTGTAACAAATTCAAACTTGAAAATGATAAAGAATTTTCTACCGATTTTGCTGTTGGGGTTTTGATTTATTTAAAAGATTAGTTCCAGATCCGTTTTAGAGATTTTAAAAGTGCAGAAAACCATATTCGAATTTTTGAAAATCCAATTGCCGTAGAAATAGAAACTTTACCACAAAATTTAATGCAAACTACGAAGAAATTTTAAAAAGTAAGCAATTCCAAATTTCTCATTAAAAATGTAACTTATACGTATTATAAAAAAATATAATTGAGTTATAAAAATAAAAATAATTTATAAAAATAAATTTACATTTTTCTTAATACCTACTTTTTATTTAATTTTTAATTTCACAAGCTTTTTATTCCTTTAAAAATGCTAGCCTGCGATGCCAAAATGTATCTTAGATTCGGCTCGCCGTAAAAATAGGTTGGAGACCCCTGATCTACAGGTTTAAGTCGTGCGAAAGCCCCGCCAGCTCAGCATCTTGAAACCAAAACGTTAAATATTTTTCTACTTTATTATTAGAAAATTTGTAATCGATTTGTAGTGATTTGTGGCCAATACTGTAACCTTTCAAAGAACGTTTTTGCGTTCGGGGCGCTAGACCGACGGAGCTCCGCGCCAACGTTACTCTCGTGGTAATGGCTCCGGGTGTATCAATCCGATTATTATAATTATAATTATTATTATTATTATCATCATAGTCGACCGGAGGACGAAAGATACTGTACGCATAACATAAGACTACACGCGGGTAAATAAACGTATAAACGTTACGGAGATTGCGAGTCATAAATTATGTTACCGAACAAATTAGTCGATCGAAATCTTTATTCGGTTTTTTGATACCGCGTGTGTAGGAATACACAGCCCGATGTGATGCGGTTTCCTCTGCCCCTCGACCGGTCCACCGGTAACGATCGGAATAATTGATATTTTCATCATTTATTCGTTATACCTACACGCGCGCGTCCGTATAAATATCTATACATAAATTATACGCGTGATTAAGACGTCTCACCGTGCGCGCCTGTTCACGTCGATTCATTACGCCTTGACGAATCCTGATGAGTTAATCGACCGCGGTCGTCGTCGGTAGGTTTCGTATTATACGCGTGTGCACATAACGATTCGCTTATGTATTGTGTACACGAATCGCGTTATGCACGTAGTTCTCGTCGAGAGTTGGGTAAGAAAAAAAAAATAAAAACCAAAAAAAAAACTCGACTGTACGCGGTGACTCGGACGAGAGTAATTAATTGTCAGTCTCGAGTCGTGCGAGAAATAAAATCCGCTTTAGATAAGTGAATACATGTACACGTTAATATAGCGGAGTAGATTAGCTCCATAATTCATAGTGGACGGTTCGAGTTAAATTGTTTTTTAATGTCGACGAGCTGTTAATGATAGTAATAATAAAAATAAAAAATATACGCGAACGTCTCACACGCGGGCGCGCAAACTCGTGGTACACCGTTCGTAGCACGTGCGTGAACGGAAATCACCGAAAACGCGACGGTTCCTGGTTGACGCGCGCGTGAGTTGAACGGTTTCGGCGCATACATTATGCACGGACACGTATGAAATAGGTACACGACCACCGAGGTGAGTGCGGTCGGATGCGGTGTTGTTTACGCAAACGAATCGATTTCATCGGGTAGTATTATTATGATTTTAATAACCGCTGCGACGGCTCGTCACCACGATCCTATTGATCTACAAGTGTGATACGATTTCGCACGAAAACCGTTTTCCGAACGTGATAATCATATGATATCGAGCACGTATCACGCACGTGCCACTTGCGAAAGCGATCTACAAACGTTGAATGTTGATGATTAAAACGATCGCGGTACGACCATTCCCGGGGGTCTCTGCAGTTCGGAGAGAAACGCGCAGATTCGCGATCCAACGCTCCGAGTGTAGTCCACCATTTAAACGTGGTCAAATCATCAGCCCTTTCACAGACGTGGACTTATAGAACTTTAAATTTTTGAAACCCATATCGGCCCTCGATCCTTGCCGACGGAACGTAAAAGCAGTATTCCGTCCTGTACGCACGTGTGCATGCGACTGGTGTGTATAAAAAAAGCGTGCGTCTGTGTGTCGCGCGTTCGTAAGGACGTGTAATATAATAATAATATTAAATTTACTGCCGCCACCGTTCTCCGAACACTAGAAGCAATTATAACGATCGTGTAATAGCCGTCACGAATTAATAATAAAAACACAACAACTGTGGGGGCAAATCGTTTTCGGCGGAGAAAAAAAAAATGATCAAATAAAATAAAACGTTTAATATTAAAAAAAATACCCATCGGGAAAAAAAAAAAATAACAAAATACCTGTACGACTCGCGCGTATCGGTTTGTTGTACGTATACGCGAACGCCGTACGATAGGCGCTGGCACGCGTGGGCGAGTTCCATTAAGGACAGTAGTGTTGTAAGGATACGCTAAACAGTTTACACGCGCGCGCACTTATACACATAATGAAGTGTATTAAAAACCGTAAGTCGTATCATGCGTACGTAGTCCTGTACGCGTGTGCGGCGTCGTCGTATATAATATCGAAACGATATACACAGGCAGGAGATTATTATAAGTACATAAATATACGGCGGCGGTGGCATGCAGCGGGAGATTATATTAGAAAAAATTAAAAATAAAAACTAGTCGTGGCCACGTAAGACTACGGTCTATTACTACACCTTTGCCTACTACGCGCAGCTGTGCCGGTGCTACTACTGTAATTCGTGGCGCCAACGACGACGACGGGGCCAACAGGTTTGCGAACCGGCGGCTGCGGTCGAAACGCATAGATAATATTCCTAGGGACGTAACACGGGTCGTCGTCATATCGCCGTTCGGATCTCGTGTGCGGTCGAACCGAACTCGGAAATCATTAAATCGACAAACGGATTCGATATCGTAATATCATTACGTGGTTTTTTTTCTGCTCCGGTCGTAGTACACATCTTTCGATATTATTGGTCCGGGTAATATACGGATGAGTGGGCTAGCGTTGGTGTGCGTTTGATAGTGTAACGGACGATGGAAGATGGCTGGACTGGGAGATGTGAAAATTCGGGATGCGGAAAGAACAGCCGACCGGAAAAGAGACGATGGAGCCATCAATAACGATTAAAAGTAAAAGTAGGAGAATCGGTATGAGCACACTCAAGAAATATATTATTAACAACAGTCGGAGGGGTAGTTTTAAGGGTTAATTTATGGTTTTAAAAAGTTTCATTGCTGTGGAGAACGATGGGGCCTGAAGAGCGAGGTCATATAGTGGACGTTTACTGGACTCGGTAATAAAGCAGCTGGTGGAAAATATTGAATGAGCGGCTACAGTGAGAATAGGGAGGGATATTCGAATGTAGCGCCACGAATGATAGACGTTAATAAAGCGACTAAAAATATCGGGCTATTTTGGCAGTAAAGATTTTTAAAAATAAACTTACCGGCTAACCAACTACATCTAATGTTAAGAAGGGTTTCGAAATCAATAGCGGAATTTGAGCAGACCTTAATGCACTGACAATAGACCGAAGACAAAATGTTTGGAGATTGTTTAGTTTATTCTATTATGAAAATGAAGCAGATCTAATAAAAAGTAACCGTAGTCAATTTTGATGCAGAGGTTGATTTATAATAATTAATAATGATGAAGGATGGGATCCTCATTACTCGTTCCTTAGAAACTGATCGAAGAAACTTTGACCAATATGATGTAAAAACGGCGAAGTTGTGGAAGTGAGGCGCCCAGTGGAGTTTGGAAACAAAAAAATGTGGAACGATTCTGCGTGTTATCCTTATGCAGAGACCATGCTAATCTTCTCTGTATTGTTCCAATTTTATTATATGTACAGCCAAAGTAAGTACATTACCCAGATTTACAATAATTAGTTCGACCGACGAAAACAATGAGAAAATTTGTTTTTGGACGTTTTCTGTAAAATAAAATGCAACTACAATACGGCGAGCGCAAGTGAAAAATTAAAAAAAGACGTAACTAATCTTGAGCCGAAAAATTTCAGTCAGCAGTTTCAATACCAATTTTCATAAAATAGTGTTTCGAATGACAGAAGAAGGTTCAAGAGTGTTACATCGAATACATATTTTTTCTCTTCAAATTAAAAATTAAAATTTTAAAAAGTTAGCGTTTATTTACGAGGACAATTTTTTCGGTTCGATTAAATTTTTGATCCTTGCGTACGTATAATATCAAATATATTAATTAACGGATAATAATACATTATTCATCTAATCCTATTCTATTTCAAGAGTCCTGATTTTCATGTTGAGTTTGATTTGAATATTCAAAAATAATAAAAAATAAAAATAAATAATAATTAATAAATAATAAATTATAATAAATAATATTATATAATTTAATAATAAATAATAAATAATATTATAATAATAAAAGTATAATTAATAGTAAATATATTTTAACCTCATAAAAAAAAAATCCTGAAAGACATACAAGCAACATCTTTACCGCATTACAGTCAAATTACGTCACACGTTACTTACATGCAATAAATTCAATTGGTTGTTATTGCCGTCAATATAATGTCTACTAGGACGACCTTGATTTCTTGAAAAAAACGTACCGAGAAGTAATATACAACGACGTTAAACTCAAATGTGTCGTGTACGTGTATAATAGCAACGATTATGTTTTTTTTTTTTTGGATGGGATTGAATTGCTGCTACTTCATTTGTATGCAAATGAAAATTTACTTCGAAAACGAAACGTTCAAAATAATACGATTGAATAATATTAATCATACCGTGTAAACACATTATTCGGTCATGCCGCATCGAAAGATCAAATGTTTTTGTAAATCGTTGGATTGATGAGAGAAGAAAAAAAATTGTTCGACAACATTGAATGTTCGACCATTATGTATAAATAAACTACCAATAATGAATATACTATTACTAGTTGATTTGTCTGAACTTGCGCGGCAGATATTTTACTACTTTGGATTACAGCAGTTTACGATTTCAATGTAAACAAAATTTATAAATGTTTAGCCCACAATTACTGTCGTATAATATTTTAATGTTATTTATTTTTATTTACGTGTACTTTAATTAGTTGTTATTAAAATCAGCATATTGAACAGAATTAAACATCCATTGTTAACCAAAAAAATGAAAAACCTTTATCTATTATGTAATAAAATAGCCGATTACAATCTCCAGTAAAGAATTCTATAAAACGAAATAAAATCGCCTTATTTAGGAAATGATAAAGAGAAAAACTCACTAGTACGTGTACAAAAATTTATGAAGTTTGAAATGTATGTCGAAGTCCACGAAACGCTTTTTTTTTTTTAGTTAGTTGGTTTTTTTAACATTTTTGTGACAAGGGATCTTGCCTTGTTCATTTACGTCTGTGAAACGAAATAATTCTTCTCGTTGACAATAACTGGCCTGATAGCTGATAGTTTTAGCACTACCAAAAGAAAAACTGAAATGGCGGCGCGACAACTTTAAATTTAGATTTTCAATATTCAATTAGGTATTTACTATATTTGGTTAATTATCACGTGCATACATTATTGTACAGTGCTGTAATATATAAATATCTATTGTTTCTTATTAAATATACCTACGCACCATCCATGGAATTTGAATTGTTGAACGTTGATCGAGAAATTGTCTTCATGACTATATGCAGTTATAAATGGCTACAAAATAATATATTATCACTTTTCCACCTCGGTTCACATCCATCATTCAGGACATGAAAAATAATTACAACTCGAGCGTGAAATTTCAAACCAATTACCAAATAATATGTTGAATTTGGGAATAAGAGAAGTTTTTTTTTTTAAATTTTTTATTTTATTACGTTTAAATAGGTAGAAAAATAATCTCTGAACACATTTGATAGCGAGTAAACGTGACGTCGCGTTTTTATTTTTTTAAGTCATTTATCTGAATGTTTGCAATCTGTTTCTATTTGTAGTCACTGACATCTAATCTTTCATACTGAACGATGGAAAACTACTCATCAATTATGCGGAATGTTACAAGCTTATAATTTATGTTGTTACAGTAAATCGACAACATTTCATATAATTATGTATATACTCGTAAACTCAATAAATTTATGTAGAACGTTTCGGGGTGTATTATTTGTTAATTTTTTTTCGATGTTATAATTAATAAGAAAATTATACCTATTATAATTATTCAATTAAAAATAAAACAATACAATGTGTTCTGTATTTCGCGTTAATATTTTGTAGTATCCCAATAAAATTATAAACAGTAGAACATTAAAATTTAAACCATACATAAAATAATAAAAACTTAAATTTTTCTAGTCGTATTTTACATATGTATCTTTTTTTTAAAAATTTAAATCACATTTTTTTTTGTACTTTTAAATGATGAATCAATATACAATAATTACATTTTTTAAAGTATCGATATAACATAAACCTGTATCGCTAAATAAATAATCTTTAAAACCAATTGGATTTAGTAATGATCCGCTAAAAGGTTACTTAATTATTATAAGAGGAATTGAAAAAAAAAAATTTTAAGTACAAAATACCATTAATCATTATTTTTAAATTCCGAGTGAAACGAGAAGTTTAAGAGTACATATTTTTTCATTTTTCGTCTATGTACACGGTTTTTTCGGAAATCTTGGTTTAAGAAAAATTGTTGAAAATTTAAAATGGCGTTTCATTTTTTAAAAAAAAATCCACGTTATAGTCAGTTTTTCGAGTATTTGAAAATGATTACACGATAAGGTGAGATTGGTCGTTTAAAATGTAATGGTACAGACGCACCTCGATATTTTTATAGTATTTGATTCCGGAATCACGTAAAGAAAATAATTATTTTCAAAATTGTTTTAAATTTGCACGCTTGAACATGAAAAATATAATAATAACAATAATAATAATAATAATAACGGTTTGGAAATAGCTGCGGTGTTTGCAACGTATGCCGGCGAAACAATGACGGGGGATTGTCATCGATTGCACCCAATAGATGTGGGGGGAGGGTGTTGGGGCAGGAACGATTACAATACGAAAAACACACAGACGTGTGCGGTACGCGTAGTGGAGTTATCCGCCGTTTTCTTGTTTGAAAAAAAATTATTATAATATCTGGTCATTGCGTTCGACGTTGAATAAATAATGCGTAAACGAACGCGACAAACACATGTGTGAGTATTCGAGCTGGATTCCGAAACACGCGCGTGACACCTGAGAGGAAAAACGAAACGGATCGTTCGAGCGAACGTAATGATGTGCATGACGTTGTGCACTTGAACGGGATTGAGGAAACGCAGTCTCGGGGACACGCGCAGCCGTGCGCATAACGAAACAACAGAGCAATGATATAAACATTTATACAATTTAAGTCGGTCCGCGTCAACCGTGAGAATATTCAGAAGAAACGATGTGAGACAGAGAGATCCTTATTGATATATCCTACTTCGTTTGCGGTGTTCCAGGAAGCGGTCAGCCGGCGTCAGTGATCGTCCAAGGTCCGCTGCTATACACGCGGTATACCCGGTCGTTCATAAATGTTCTTACAAGCGCTGTCCAGTTGTAAACCGTACACGTGTGAGTAAGTGTATACATGCGTGGGTGTGTATGTGTGCGTGTACGATTGTGTTGTAGATCGTCGATCGGTAGTTGTGTAATTAAAATAGCAATTAAAAGTTATTAGACGTGACGCGAATCGTTGATTATTGATTTCCGAGCGGCGGCGCTTATACGATTACGTAATTCGGAATGTTGTTCGACGTGTAGAACACACAACCAAAGTCGGTTTTCGATTACCTACAATGTAGGCCCTACGTCGATCCTAACGATGCGTTTTCGTATTTAATACGATTTCGTTATATTTATATATTATGGTATCATAAGCGTTGTGATACGAACCGACAGCGAACGTAATTACTGCAAATTTAATGTGTCCAATTGTAAAATTTGGCCAATTGCAGATCCTGGAAGGGAGCACCGAGGACGAAACTCTGTAGAGAGTCGGTTGTAATGTTGCGATTTTTATCACGGTTTATCGCTTACCACCAGGTGCCAGTGTCGAAAATGTATTAACTTTTTCACAAAAACAAAAACCACTACATTTTATGGTGCGTATCACGGGGTATACTTTATAGGACGTGAACCGTTTTCGATTTTCGTATTCAGCTGCAGATTTCAAGTCGTGTACCGTACACTGGAAAGTATAAAATATACAAAAGTATCATCCTGAATCAAGAGTTTTGATGACGGATCTTGGTAAACGAAAAGGTTGATTTTAATAATAAATTTGGTACACCTCTACCTAGAGCAAATAATATATGTACATATTACGGCAGTATTGATAACAACTTATAGGTATGGAGTTTATGAAAATAAATTAAGGCGTAAGGGAGAAATACTCTGAAACCGTTAAAAAGTAATAAGCACCAGCCATTTTGACAACGATCCATACGGAACTTCTGCCGTTCATTGAAACGCTGTTTTCGACTTAACGCAATGTAATAATAAATACATATGAATACCTTCACACACACTCGCACAAGTGCAAGGATATACTCATTCCTATTCTTTCCGATGTGTTTTAACTGCTCGCCAGCGGTCCACGCACACATACAGGTAAGTACCATTAAAAAACCAGTAATTCAAAATATATATTATACGTGTGCCCGTATATTATACATTCGATTTATATATAGTACCATGTGAATACCCAAGCGCGTATATAATAGTATTTTAACGATATTTGCGTTTACAATATGTGATATGACACAACTGAATATGGGGCATTGTAAATAATTGGTGTGATAAACAACCGTAAACAGACTCGGTGAAATACGGTTTATCGTTTAATATATG